GTGTGTGTATATATATATATGTATATATATATATATATATTCATAAAAGAAAGATTATATCCAATTCCAAACAAGGAGTGATTTAGTTATTCATTTCCATGGTAGCCTTCAAGAAAAAGATGGAAAGAGGAAGAAAATGTACTAATGATTTGATATTAAGCTCCAAAATGAGTGTCAAAAACAAAGTTTATCATGCTCAATATATTTGAGAAATAACTTACTAAGAAGATGTATCTACTTGTCAATGCTTCATCAATTAAGAAATACACAGTTAAATGTGTTTAGGGTTTATGTTGATTTGTGATAATAGTTGTAGCACAGATCGGAAATAGATGGAATTGGCCATGTACCATTCCATGTAGTCTTGTGTGTGAAACAATGGGTCTTGCATTGGATGACCTATCAATGTGTACTCACGTTTGTTGTTCCATATGTTGACCCATCTGGCTAGAACGACCCGTTCCCAAATCAGAACCGCCCGTTCTAGTTTAACAGGGCATGTGCTTTTTTTGAATCTGGAACGGGCCGTTCCAGATTCAAAAATAACACATGTCCAGTTGAACCAGAATGGGTCGTTTTGATTTTGGAACGGGACGTTTTGATCCATTCGTCATGTGTTATTTTTTCATCTGAAACGACCTGTTCTGATCCATTCGTCATGTGTTATTGTTTCATCTGGAACGACCCATTCTGATTTTAGAATGGCCCGTTCTGAACGTGAATAGCAGTTGGAACATGTGCTTTTTGGGTAATTTTTTAAAAAAAATTATTTTAGTAAAAAATTCAGAAACTTAGATCTTGTGTGATAGGGTGTATGATATGCTAATAGGATTAGATGCATCTAATGGTAAATAAAAGTGGTGCATCCATACACCACTTGCATTAGTGATCCATCAAAGAATTTAGGCTAAAAACTTATTTTGGTCCCTTATAATAATTGTTTGTTTCAATTTAATCCCACTTTTATTTTTGGTCTCAATTTGGTCCTTAATAAATTAATTGGTTGCAATGTCGGACTTCTGTCCAAATTACTTAGACGGAGTTAACTGTTAGCCACGTGGATGCTACGTTGATGTCACGTGGAAGCTACGTAGATGCCACGTGGATGTCAAATTTTTGTCATGCATCTGGAACCAGAATGGCCCATTCTGAAACCGGAACGACCCGTTCTGGTTTCAGAACGGGCCGTTCTGGTTCTAGAATGTCACACATACAGTTAATGATTATATCCAAAAAATTTAGATCGTGAGGACAATACTTATTCATATATTTGTAATATTAAAAATTTTATATATAATTTATTTTTAAAAATATAAATATATATTATAGTTATTTTTTACAAGTTTTTATATCTACAATTATGATTAAGGATGAAAATAAAGTAGGTCAGATTATGTTATATTATAATTTAACAGATTTAAACCTAATTTTTGTTAAAAATACGTTATAAATATTATATATTTATCTATCATAGACATTTTTTAAAATGTTTGGTTACATAACAATCTTAAAAACCTACTTAATAATAATTTAACACTAATAAAACATATAAATAAATATGTTAAATCTTATAAAAATTAAGTTTAATTTATTTATCATATAAAGATGTTTTTAATATGTGATATAAATTTTTACAATTTTAATTTTTTTATCAACATAAACAATAAATAGAAAGTACAAAAGTTTGAAAAATATTAGATAAATAAATAACTCTTCGAAATTTAATTTTATATATATGATATATTTTTTTGGTGTTGTGCATATGATAATTTAAATAAATATATATATATATATATATATATATATATTAGAATATAATTTTTATTTTTTAAAATATATTATTTTTTAGATAAAAAAATTGTGTATGTGTAAATGATTTGCTTTCGATTTTTGAACCACACTGGTGCACTATGTTGATTGGCGTTCTGGAACAGCCTGTTCTGAATCCAGATACATGACAAAATTTGACATCCATGTGACATCTATGTAACTTTCACGTGGCATCCACGTGACCAAACGTTAACTTCGTCTAAATAATTTGGACGAAAGTCTGATATTGCAACTAATTAATTTATTAGGAATCAAATTAAGACAAAAGATAAAAGTTAAGACTAAATTAAAACAAAAAATTATAAGAGACTAAAATAAGTTCTTAGCCAAGAATTTACCTTTTAAAAATACTTCTTTTAAACATAAACAGAGAAACCTATGTTAGTGCTCCTTCTGTTGCTGTACACTACTCACTACTAATACTCTCTTCCCAGGTCTCGCTGTCTCTTCATTTGACTTTGTTGAGAAAACCCTAAAATCCCAAATCTCCAGCAATGGCACCGAAGATGAAGCTGCAGCCGCGCAATCCCCCTGTTGAGGATCCACCCACAGCTTCTTCCTCTTCCTCTTCCGAATACGAAGAAGAAGAAGAAGACTTGCAACCTTCCACCCAACCACCCGCGCAAGATTTTTCCTCTTCCTCATCCGAAGACGACGAAGAACCTTCCAAAACCCCTCCCACTAACCCTACCTCCAAACCCTCCTCCTCCGAATCCGACACCCCCTCCGACTCCGATTCCGAGCCCAAGCCCAAGCCCACCAATCAGGCCCAAAAGCCCAAGCCCCAGCCCCAGTCCTCCTCCGCCCCGCCCAAATCCGGATCCAAGCGCCCCGCCGAGTATTCCGCCCTGCCCAAGCCCGCCAAGAAGAAGCCAACCGACGCCTCTCCTTCCGTCGCCGCCTCCGACGACGAGGCGGAGGAGGACGGGAAGAAGTCCGGCGGTGGCGGGGGCGGGCAATTAAAGCTGTTCCAGAGGCTCTGGAGCGAGGAAGACGAACTGGCGATTCTGAAGGGCATGGCCGAGTTCATTTCCCGCACCGGGCAAGACCCTCACAGGTACCCCGAGTCTTTCCACGACACCGTTAAGAAGTCGCTCCACGTGGAAGCCTCCAGCAACCAGCTGAAAGAGAAGATCCGGCGCTTGAAAAAGAAATTCGAGACCAATTTGGGGCGAGGGAAGAACGGGGAGGACCCCAAATTCTCCAAGCCCCACGACCAGACGCTGTTCGACTTGTCCAAAAAGGTTTGGGGCGAAGCTAGTATGCTCGTGGTGAGGCCCAAGTTCAATGGGAAGCCCGCCAAGAGCCCAATTCCCAAGAAGGAAGGTAAAAGCAGGAAGGAG